TGCAAGCTCCGCCTCCCGGGTTCACGCCATTCTCCTGCCTCAGCCTCCCCAGTAGCTGGGACTACAGGCGCCCGCCACCATGCCCGGCTAATTTTTTTGTATTTTTAGCAGAGATGGGGTTTCACCATGTTAGCCATGATGGTCTCAATCTCCTGACCTCGTGATCCACTTGTCTCGGCCTCTCAAAGTGCTGGGATTACAGGCGTGAGCCACAGCGCCCGGCCTCCTTCTTCCATTTTAAACATTAAATAATAAGCTCTGTTTTTTTTGTTTGTTTGTTTTTGTTTGAGACGGAGTTTCACTCTTGTTGCCCAGGCTGGAGTGCAATGACACGATCTCCGCTCACCACACCCTCCGCCTCCTGGGTTCAAGCGATTTTCCTGCCTCAGCCTCACAAGGAGCTGGGATTACAGGCATGCACCACCACACCCGGCTGATTTTTTTGGTATTTTTAGTAGAAACGGGGTTTCTCCATGTTGGTCAGGCTAGTCTCGAACTCCCGACCTCAGGTGATCCACCTGCCTTGGCCTCCCAAAGTGCTGGGATTATAGGCGTGAGCCACCACACCTGGCAGGCTCTGTGTTTTGATGCTTTGTGGGTTTTAGCAATAAATGAATGCACTGAAAGACACCAAGCTTCATCAGTCTTTCATGTCTCCATTCCTTTCTTTTTCTTTTTCTTTTTTTTGAGTTGGAGTCTTGCTCTGTTGCCCAGGCTGGAGTGCAGTGGTGTGATCTTGGCTCACTTCTTCCTCCGCCTCCCAGGATCAAGCGATTCTCCCGAATCAGCCTCCCGAGTAGCTGGGATTACAGGAACCCACCATCACGCCAGGCTAATTTTTGTATTTTCAGTAGATACGGGGTTTTGCCATGTCGGCTAGGCTGGTCTCAAACTCGTGATCTCAGGTGATCTGCCCGCCTCAGCCTCCCAAAGTGCTGGGATTACAGGCATGAGCCACTGTGATGGAAGAAAAAGCCACTTCTTTTTCTTTCTTTTTTTTTTTTTTTTTTTTGACAGGGTCTCACTCTGTCACCCAGGCTGGAGTGCAGTGGTGTGACCTCAGCTTATTGCAACCTCTGCCTCCCAAGTTCAAGTGATTCTTGTGTCTCAACCTCCTGAATAGCTGGGATTACAGGGCGTGCCACCATGCCTGGCTACTTTTGTACTTTTAGTAGAAACGGGGTTTTACCACGTTGGCCAGTTGTCTCCAACTCCTGACCTCAAGAGATCCGCCCACCTCTGCCTCCCAAAGTGCTAGGATTGCAAGTGTGTGCCACCACGCCTGGCCCATTCTTTTCTATTATGTCAAATTAATCTGTCCTTGAGAAGCACTTAAAATTGTACATTGGTTAGTCTTTAATGAAGCAAGATATAGAATTAAAATCTAAGGAGCACTGATAAGGGTCAGGTTGAATTGCTAGCTTTGTTAAGTGAGATTGTGTAGCATGCCAAAATACACTTAGGATATATTTATTCTTTTTTTTTTTTTCTTTTTTATAGAGATCGGGTCTCGCTATGTTTACTAGGCTGGTCTCAAACTCCTGACTTCAAGTAATCCTCCTATCTTGGCCTCCCAAAGTGCTGGGATTACAGGTGTGAGCCATGGCATCCAGCCTCAAATGAATATATATAAATATATATACACACACACACACACACATATATATATATTTGCTTTTCTCTTTTTTTTTTTTTAAATTTTACTTTAAGTTCTGGGATATATGTGCAGAAAGTGCAGGTTTGTTACATAGGTATACATGTGCCACGGCGGTTTGCTGTACCTATCAACCCCCATGGTGGTTAAATGCACCTATCAACCTGTCATCTAGGTTTTAAGCCCTGCATGCACTAGATATTTGTCCTAATGCTTTTCTTCCCTTTGCCCCTTACCCCAGTGACAGGCCCTGGTGTGTGATGTTCCCCTCCCTGTGTCCATGTATTCTCATTGTTCAACTCCCACTTATGAGTGAGAACATGCTTTCTGTTCTTGTGTTACTTTGCTGAGAATTATGGTTTCCAGCTTCATCCATGTTTCTGCAAAGGATATGAACTAATTCTTTTTTATGGTTGCATAGTATTCTATGGTGTATATGTGCCATATTTTTTTTATCCAGTCTATCATTGATGGGCATTTGGGTTGGTTCCAAGTCTTTGCTGTTGTAAATAGTGCTGCAATAAACATATGTGTGCATGTGTCTTTATTCAAATGAATATTTAAAGAGCATATGCCCACTCATGTTCTGTTCTGTTCTGTTATAGTATAATTTCAATTCTTTGAAAAGTTGGATAGAACAGAAATTTTAATAATCTTGCTCCATAAACAAAAGGTTATTAGATTTTGGTCAGGAGAGTAGCTTCTTGAAATTGAAATTTTTAGAAGAATGTAGTAGGAAACGTAGACTGGTGAGGGAGAAATGATAATTATAAATATCTATTTGAATATAACCTCTTTTGATTCTGAAATTCCCAATGTTTTTGGCATACTGAATACTTTTATGTGACAGTCATCATTTGATTTAAAGTCTAAGCTGGAATCATATTGTGTATTATTAACCTGAAACCTCCCTCACATTCAGGCCAATATATTTACGTTTTATCAGGTGTTAATTCCAGGCAACTCTCCTAGTGGTATGATAAAGAAATACTCAGAAGGTATTTTTGCAGATTTTTTCCTCTGCCAATGTTTTCCTCTATTCAGTGTCACAGGATACATCTAAATTATGTCAGACCAAAACTAAGGCTACCTAAGCCAAATCAGGGAGCAGTTTGGAAATGTGTGCCAGTAATTTGAAGGATGCCCCTGGCAGGAGAGAACTTTAGAACTGAAAGATACCTTAGAGATCATGTAATGATACAAGGCTCTCACTTTAACTGGGCTAAAACTGAGGCTATAACAGGTCAACTCACTTACTCTTTCCAAAGATAATCAGTAACCTGGTAATGCAAGTCTTACTGTCAGAAGACCCTTAAAAGAATTATACAGGGCTGGGCGTGGTGGCTCACACCTGTAATCCCAACACACTGGGAGGCCGAGGCGGGCAGATCACGAGGTCAGGAGTTTGAGACCAGCCTGGCCAACATAGTGGAACCCCGTCTCTACTAAAAATTCAAAAATTAGCTGGGTGTGGTGGCACACGCCTGTAATCCCTGCTACTTTGGAGGCTGAGGCAGGAGAACTGCTTGAACCCAGGAGGCAGAGGTTGCAGTGAGCCAAGATCACGCCACTGGACTCCAGCCTGGGTGACAGAGTGAGACTCCATCTTGAAAAAAAAAAAAAGATTTATACAGTAAGTCAGTACCATATCAATATTTGGAGCACAGGGTTTTATATCGTAAATCTATTCTTTTCATTAAGATAAATCCTCCTCTTTCTTCTTTTTAGGGAATCTTTAAAAAATTTTTTAGTTTAAAGTTCCAGGATACATGTGCAGGACATGCAGGTTTGTTACATAGGTGAACATGTGTGCCATGGTGGTTTGCTGCACCTATGAACCTATCACCTAGGTATTAAGCTCTGCATGCATCAGCTATTTATCCTGATCTGGTAATCTTTTGAGCCTGTAAGTTTTCTCATTCCAGTAATTTCTTTTCTTCCTGAGATAGTGCAAGATTCTAGTATTTTCTTCTATTAATTTTTTTTTTTTTTTTTTTTGAGATGGAGTCTCACTCTGTCACCCAGTGGGGAGTGCAGTGGTACGGTCTTTGCTCACTGCAACCTCTGCTTCCTGGGTTGGAGCAATTCTCCTGCCTCAGTCTCCCAAGTAGCTGGGATTACAGGTGTGTGCCACCATACCAGGCTAATTTTCGTATTTTTAGTAGAGACTGGGCTTGGCCATCGTCTTGAACTGGTCTTGAACTTTGGCTGGTCTTGAATTCCTTACCTCAGGTGACCCACCCACCTCGGCCTCCCAGAGTGCTGGGATTACAGGCATGAGCCACTGTGCCCGGCCTAAAAAGGTTTTTTTAAAAATTTTTTTAACCACTTTACCAACGTGCCAAATAATAGTGCATAAATGCAGTATAATACATTTCATATCTGTACCTACTTCAAAGTGTATTCTGTCCTTTGGAATAAGCCAAAGGTGAGCTAATATCTGCACATGATTTGTTTTGCTCAGATTCTTTGAAAACGTGTGGATTTCATGGGTGTTGTAAGAAGATGGATATCTTTTGGGTACTCACATTTCCCCCCTAAATTGGTAATGCTGTGGTGACATATTCAAGGTATGTGAAGGATTCTTAAACAGAATATAAAGGCTTGCCCTGGGCTCCATAACCCTGTGAGAATAAAAGTCCCTTTGCAAGTGGGTCTGAATAGCTTCTAGGATATTCTGTGCGTTAGAATGCTTACAAGCTTTGGCTCCCTAAGTGGTTACACCGATGACCACCCTACCTTGCTGGGTTCTGCGGTGAACTGAGCTCAGCTCTCCTCCTTGGCTCGCTTACTTTTCCCAGCTGCTGATGACAGCCTGGCTTGCCTGTTCAGGTAGTCACGGACCCTGACCTTCCCCTAGTTCAGGGTTTACAAATATTACTATAAAAAGACAGAGACCTTGAAAACCCATTTGATCCTTTTCCTCCAAGCCATTCCAACCTGATGAAACTCCCTCCTGTTTTTAAGTGGTAGCAGAGCAAGATGCCATCACCTTTCACCGCCCTTGGCCGGGCACTCACTGTGGGCCTAACTCCGTGGTAATTCCATCCCTCACTGCGGGACCCTGACATCTCGGAGCGGAAGCCCACTTCCCCCCTAACCTCCGGAGCCCAGCTGAGCGTCTCCCAGCGCTCTGCCACGACCCCTAACCGGGTAGACAGGGGGGCCGGGCGGCCCCTGCGCACACGCTGGGCGTGGTCCCTGGCAGCAGAGAGGACCAGAAGGTGAGGGACCCCAGGCCGCAGCCAGACGGGAGGGGTGGGCTTGCACCGCTATCGCGAGAGCTCGTGAGGTGGGGGCGGCCGGGAGCTGGGGAGGGGCGCGCGGAGAGCCTGCAGCCCTGCCCCGCCTCCCTTTCCTTCCCCTCCCCTGGAGTGATTCAAGACGAGCGCTACCCACTTCCGCCCCCTCCGCCTGCCATTGGAACTAGCTGAGCCGAACTAGTTGCGGCCACCGAGCAACCAGGTCTCCGCACCTCCTCCTCCGCCTCCCTGTCTCCTGTTCCAGTTGCGTTTTCTCTCCTTTCCTGGCCGACGCCGCTCCGAGGCCTCGCAACCGCCGAGCCTGCAGCCTGCACCGCGGCCAACATGAGCTTCTTGTTGTGAGTAGCCAGGCCCCGCACGCGCCGGCTTTGTTCGGGTGGACCTGGGCCCCCGCCCGCTGCCCGCTGCCCTCCGCTCGGCGTCCGCCGCCCACCCTCGTCCCGACCCTCCTGGCCCCGCGCTCCCCGGGCCGGGCGTCACCACCAAGCGGGGCCCCGGGACTGCGCGGAGCGCTCCAACTAGTCTAACCACCGCCTCCCCATCGGGCTTCGAGTACGCGTGGGCTCCTCCAGCCCTGAGGAGGTTCTTTCCCCCTGGCACACCCCGGGGCCAGCGCCTGGATTCCTTCATCACCCCCGTCTCTGCCCTCGCTCGCATTCCCGGGCTTGTTTGCGCGCTTCTCGTGGGTATCTCCCACTGTCCTGCACAACCCATATCCAACCAGTGCCCGGTCGAAGGGCTCCGTCGCGGCTGCCCAATGCTCTTTTCTGGGTCCCAAGCACAGAAGATAGACTGTCGTACTTTCCCCCGTCATTCCAGGACCCTTTTAACTTCCTCTCTCGTCTTAGGGCTGGGAAGTTGGGATGACAAGTTCTGTACTTGTAACACTGAAACAAGGCTGCTTGCGGGTCGGGATCCCTTGGACACAGACTGGGGTCCCCAGGAAAGGGGTCTGGAGCCGCCTCCTTGCTTCCTCGAGGCGCCCTTCTTGCCAGAGTACTTTCCTGAAGAAGACGAGTTTTATCTTTTTAGACAACCAGCAAATAGGTTTTGGATAGTGTACCCTGCTAGGTCGATTAGGTCCTCTGGGGAGTTGTTTGGAAAATCATTTGTAAATGCCAACTTTGGCGTCATATTTAGTGCTGGTCATTATTTCACTTATCGTTTGTTCCAGACGAGTGGGGGGAACGTGGAGAGGGAAGGGCAGAAGGATGGGATGGCCAGATGTGGATATGGAGGCAGTAGATAAGCCTCAGGTCGTCTGAAAACAGGGGTTACACCCTGAGGAATAACTCCTTTGAAGGCTTCGTTGTGATGCACTCATTCCATGTTTAGTCTGTGTTTAGAAAACTAATAAAAACTCAGAGGTTGAAACTCATCCCATATATACTCTTTTACTGTTGTGGAGAAATTAGCATTTAAAGATTATTTTCTTATGATTTCCTTTCTTTCCTTGACTAATAATTTTTAGTTATTACATTGACGTCTGAATACTGAGAATTTAATTCACCCTTCTTTTCTTTGTGTTTTTTTTTTTTTTTTTTGAGATGGAGTCTCGCTCTGTCGCCCAGGCTGGAGTGCAGTAGCGCGGTCTCGGCTCACTGCAAGCTCCGCCTCCTGGATTCACGCCTCAGCCTCCCGAGTAGCTGGGACTACAGGCACCCGCCACCACGCCCGAAACGGGGTTTCACCATGTTCGCCAGGATGGTCTCGATTTCCTGACCTCGTGATCCACCTGCCTCGGCCTCCCAAAGTGCTGGGATTACAGGCGGGAGCCACCGCGCCCTGCCAGTTCACGCTTATTTTCACATGCTCACATCTAGAATTTTTTTTTTAGGGTGTTTAAGCAAAACTGAACAATCACAGAAGGCTGACCTAGGGGCAGACTTGCTATTTCCAATATGCATAGGGGACCCGGCATGTGTTAACTTGCCTAAAACGTTTACACTGTGAAAGGGATTTCTTAGGCCCCTCCTAGAAGTTGATTCTGAGTTTGTCAGATTGACATAGGGCTAGATAACAGGACTGGGTGACTTTATAAAAAAGTCCTTGTTTCCTATTTTAATTCTTCTTTTCTTTTTTTTTTTTTTTGAAACGGAGTCTCTGCTCTGTCACCCAGACTGGAGTGTGTGGTGGCGTGATCTCGGCTCACTGCAACCTCCGCCTGCCGGGTTCAAGCGGTTCTCCTGCCTTAGCCTCCTAAGTAGCTGGCACTACAGGCCGGCGCCACCACGCCTGGCTAATTTTTCTATTTTTTAGTAGAGATGGGGGTTTCACCATGTTGGCCAGGCTGGTCTCGAACTCCGGACTTCAAGTGATCTGTCCGCCTCGATCTCCCAAAATGCTGGGATTACAGACGTGAGCCACCGCGCCTGGGCAGTTTCTTGTTTTAGTTCTAATCACCATATTCAAGCATCTCAGCTTGAAGCTTCTCGTCTTGAGCTTAATTTTACATTGCTAATTTTTTTTTCAAGAATTTAGAAGCTGTATTCAAAATAGCGCTGTAGATGTCCATGACTACTGCTGATGGGCTTGTGTCTAGTAAGCTAAATTGGTTAAAGCAAGGCTGGGCACAGTGGCTGACGCCTGTAATCCCAGCACTTTGGGAGGCCAAGGCGGGCAGTTCATCAGGTCAGGAGTTCGAGATCAGCCTGGCCAATATGGTGAAACCCCATCTCTACTAAAAATACAAAAATTAGCTGGGTGAGGTGGCATGCAGGTAATCCCAGCTACTTGGGAGGCGGAGACAGGAGGATTACTTGAACCCGGGAGGTAGAGGTTGAAGTGAGATGAGATCGTGCCACTGCACTCCAGCCTGGGTGACAGAGCGAGACTCCATCTCAAAAAAAAAAAAAAAAAAAAAATTGGTTAAAGCAGGGAAGACCCATATTTGGCTGAAACTAGGGGATGGAGAAAGTTCTGATGCTATTTTTTGAATACAAATACAGTAGTGTCCTATTTTTACATGGCTCAGTGTTTAATATAGATTCAGAAGTGTGGTAGATTAGTTCATTTCTCCTGAAGGTTAGTAACTACAAAAGAAATCTTGCTGTAACTAATGTATATAGCACCTTAGAGCATTTGCACCGTTTGGAGCACAATTTTCCAGTTAGGTTACATCTATCTAGCATTTGATATATTCTCAACATATTTAGCCCATGTGCTTGACAATCAGAAAAGTTAATTAAACATTTTTACTTTTGGTCTTTGCCCACCATCAATTAAAAATACAAAGTGAATACCACATAGAAATGATTATTATTGGAAGTGAAAGAACAAAGCTTTGGTTATTTCATCTGTTTGTTATTTGGTATAACTGTCTGAATACTGTTTTTTTTGTTTTTTGTTTTTTTTGAGACGAGCTCACTCTGTCGCCCAGGATGGAGTGCAGTGGCATGGTCACAGCTCAATCACTGTAGCTTTGACTTCCCAGGCTCAGTGATTCTTTCATCTGAAACCCCCTCCCCACCACAAGTAGCTGGTACCACAGGTATGTGCCACTATGCCTGGCTGATTTTTTTTTTTTTTTTTCGGTAGAGTCAGGGTTTTGCCATGTCACCCAGGCTGGTCTCCTGGGCTCAAACAATCCGCTCATCTTGGCCTTCCAAAGGGCTGAGATTACAGGTGTGAGCCATCGCACCTGGCCGTCTGAATACTATTTCTTTACCAACAGATGAGCAGAGAAGGAAAGAGTTACAGCTTAGGAGTTAAATACAAATATTTTCCTCCCATTCTTGAAAGCTTACTGGGAAGCCTACTATCAGTGGATGGAGCAGAGGAAATAAGGGCAATGCAAGATAGGGCTGCAAAGGTGGTGACTCATGACTCTTGAGGGCTCTAAGATAGAAGGAAAGAATTACTACTGATTTTTAAAAGGCGCACTGTGGGCCGGGCGCGGTGACTCCTGCTTGTAATTCCAACACTTTGGGAGGCTGAGGTGGGCGGATCACTTGAGCCCAGAGTTCCACACCAGCCTGGACAACATGGCAAAACTCTGTTTCTACCCCAAAAATACAAAAATTAGCCAGGTGTGTGGCAGTGTGAGCCTGTAGTCCCAGCTACTCTGGGGGCTGAGGTGGAAGGGTCATCTGAGCCTGAGGAGATTGAAGACATCAAGGCTGTAGTGAGACATAATCACGCCACTGCACTCCAGCCTGGCCCATAGAGAGTGAGACATTGTCTTTAAAAAAAGGCTGGTCGCGGGACATCATGGCTCAGGCCTGTAATCCCAGCACTTTGGGAGGCCGAGGTGGGTGGATCACTTGAGGTCAGGAGTTCGAGACCAGCCTGACCAAGAAATGAAACCCCATGTCTACTAAAAATAAAAAAATTAGCCAGGCGTGATGGTGGATGCCTGTAATCCCAGCTACATGGGAGACTGACTAGGAGAATCACTTGAATCCAGGAGGCGGAGGTTGCAGTGGGCCAAGATTATGCCACTGCACTCCAGCCTGTACGACAGAGTGAGACCATCTCAAAAAAAGAGAAAAAACAAAATTGCTGTGCCAGGCGCTGACGTAGATGTTGGGCACCATTTGTGACAAAAGAGAAAAAAATCCCTGCATTGGTGGGACTTATGTTCTGGTAAGTGTCCGTAAATACTGAACATCAATAAATCATATAGTATGGCAGAAGGTCGTAAGTGCCATGAAACAAAGGAGAGCAGGGTATAGAGATTTTTGAATAGGGAGTTGAGACAGATTAGGATAATCCCCAGAGTGGGTTCCCAGATCATCTGCAGGAATGATACCTTTGTGTAGCTTTTGTATAAACTCTCAGGATAAATTTGCACTGCATGTGTGGGTCTGGCTGGGACAGAGCTTTGGTTGTGCCGCAGGTTGGCCTCTGTGTATCTTCAGATTAAGCTAAACTCTCATGGTAGATATGGAAACTTCACAGGGACCTCATTTAATTTTGTGGACTCAAATCTTTTAAACACATCCTTAGCACCTGCTGTGTGCCAGGCATTGAGGAAGATATGAGATTCCAGAGATGGTGGATGGTATATAGTCATCTATGATAGATGCAGTACAATCATGGGGGCCCAAAGTATGTGTAGCAATTTGTTCTACTTAGGCTTTAGGAAAGTTTCATGAAAGAAGTGGGTGATAATTAATGGAAGGTGAACAGGAGCTCTCTAAGAAGACAAGGGGAAGTGGGAGATTACAGTCAGAGGAAACATCTTTGAGTCAAGAATTTGCCTGTGAATTGTTCACCTTCATGTTTGTGCAAGAGGCCATAGAATTTTGGAGCTGACGGGTCTATTAGTGACATGGCCTGCATACTTCTTTTAGCTAAAGAGGCAAAAATCACCGACTTCAGGTTGGTGGCTAATTAT